GTCCAATGTCTCGTATTCGTTTTTGAAGTGCACTGCGTGGAGTTCCATTGGCATGCTTCGAAAGAAATTTTAATAAATTCTATTTAACACAGAAAATTATTTTGTGAACGTAGTTTTTCGTGTAATAAAATCAAAATATATAAAAAACCTTCCACCATCAATGAAGTGTTCACTCCCATTCATCTCGTTTTCTCCCCAATGGAAATGAATTTGGGAAAAAGTGTAATTCTCCGCGAAAGGTCCACCGCGGATGTACGGTCGTTCCTGTTGCCATTTTGCACTGATGACTACTGTTGACCAACAAAATATTCACCATCGCTCCAAAAAAATAGGTAAACGTCGAATACTCTACCCGAGTGTCCTGTGTTGGTAATTTTCAGTTTCCTTGGGGCCACATCGATGTTAGGCCATTCCAAGGGATTCAGTTCGATCACTTTCATAGAACTAATATTGAAATCAATGGGAGACTCCAAGTCACCCTCGGTGGAAGCTAAGCCTCGAATAAATTTAGCATTCTCTAGGTTAGCCTCGTACGTTTCTATCGACATTTATCAGTGGAATAAAAAATAGCTAAAGGGTATCACGAAAAAGTATAGGGAATCATTCCACTCCATAAATTTACATTCCATACTCTATAAAAAATTTTCATAACGATCCAAGTCAATACAAATTTAGGTTCACATCTCAGTTCGATCTTTCATAGTCGGTTACAACAGATGGCTCGTGAAATTGTCGTCTGCAACTTCCCTACAGCAACGTTCATGCAGGTTCTGGACAGATACAATTTCAATTTTAGCTACGCAATCTCAACATGGATTACGCACGTAAAATTGGTAAGCCAAAAGGCATAACGAAATGGGAGCCACCGGTGCAAAGGCTAGCGTCCGTGCATGACGACCTCATGTTCACGAGAGAAAGATTCTCGGAAGACGCTCGTCTAGTCAACTGGAGAAAATGGTTAGCAAACCGAAGTAAACAATACAAACACATCGAGTCGTCCACCGGACGTCACCAGAATGATCAACTTCTGAATTCCTGCGAGAAAATTCGACCACTGATCGAAACCAGGAACGTGATGGATTATGCGACCGTACCTGCGCCAGTGGTTCCAGACAAGTTCAGAGGTGGGCCAGAATTCTGGAGAACTCCGGAAGCGCTACCAAATCGTGACCCCTGCTTGCCAGACATCACCATCACGCCAACCAAGAAGGACCTCAACCTGCTCCCGGAGCTAACCTACGTGGACTTACCAGAGTTGATAGAAAAAGAGAAGAATCTCGTTGGTTTGAAGTCGAAGGAACCGTTATGGGAGCGTAGCGAGTACCTCCTGAAGAGAAAAAACGAATTATCCAAGGAAATTAGGTTGATAGTACCTAAACAACCAGAAACTAGACACCTGGTGATCGAAGGTCACGGTCCGAGACGAAAGAAAAAAGAACCAAGACTCCCACCTATAACAATTTCCGACACTGAAGAGGATAACAACTGCGATCAACCAGTAAGTCGAGATCAGGTAGTCATCCTGAGGATTCAAGACAGAGACATAACTTGGCATAGATCTGCCTTCGAAGATGGACCAACTGATCCCATCACGTGGAATTTGTCCTTCGCCTCGCAAGTAGACAGGAGACAAGAGAAGGAACTCACCCTCGAGAACAGAGGCAATCGTGTAATCGTTTACGAATGGAGAGACGCTGCCTATAGGCCTGACGCTATACCTCTGAAAAGACGAATAAGTTCATTCTTCTTCAACAAGACAAAAGAGACTATTCCTCCAGGTCAAATCGTGAAATTGAAAGTCTGGTACCTGCCACGCGCCCCAGGTGTCTCCAGCGAACTGTGGAGGCTAAAGACCGACCCTGAATTGTGTCCCTCGCCATTGATAATTCGACTAAGCGGCTGTGCCGAGACTATGGACATACAAGCTCTAGAAAACAATCCTGTAATGATAGTCGACGGGTATTTGGATCAGTGCGTTCGAGACGCGACGATACGAGAGACGATAAACGAGATTATAGAGGACATGCGCTGTGTGGAGCCTCCAGGGCCTTCCTATGGAAGCCTGTTTCTGGAATCGGAGGTATTCGCGATCAAGAACCCCGTGTGCTACTATCACCCAAGTCTCGTGGCCGAGTTTCACAAGATTCACCAAAACGCGACCAATCAGAGCGAGCAGCGTTGGAACTTATGCTTGGAGGATCTTAGAGAGACGTTGTTGAGGATCAAGGAACCAGAACGCAGGCACGCCATGCTGACGCGATTCAGCGATATTTATAAAGAGTGCTTGAAGCCTGCTCTGCTCGCCTCTGTCGAATACGGCAAGCACGAAACTGTGCACAATTTGCTGTGTTCTTTTCTGAATCGTTTCGAAGTCGAGAGCGAGTACGCGCGGAGAGCCTGCTTCGAGAAGGATGTTAATGAAACTGTTATCGCCGTGTCGGAAACGAGCATGAGGGCGATAAACGGGTCCCAAGGGTTCGCGAGGAACGGCAATTCGCGTGACAATCGTGGGAGAAGATCAAACTCTCCCACGGAGAGCGTTCGAATTCATGATAATATTGGGAACTCTGGAGTGGTTGACGATGGACCGTACGGGGAGATATTTTTTATTCGAATTCACGAGCTTTTGAGAGTGATCGTCGAACGAGTATGCGCGGCTATCGATTCATTTAACAATTTAAACGAACGTGACAAATGAAAAGCATTGGGAGCAATTTATTTTGAGCTTTGGAGAGTTTGGAGAGCAAGTTTCAGGTACTTGTAGGAGGGGAGGCAATGGTGATTGCCGTTTAAAGTCACGTGGTATTTATTGATTGTAAATAAAACTGATAGTATGTACAATAAGATAATTGAATTCGAATTTAGGAAATTTTTCAAATTGTACCCTCTAGTTTGCGTCACGTGTGTCCTTATATTCATGAATAAGAGATCCCGCGAATTATGCGCTCGTGGTTCTAGGGTATACCTGTGTATATAACTGTACATAACTAAAAACAGCAACAGTTTTATTTAATATTATTTCCACGGCGTTTTCTATTTTTTATTTAGCAATTTCTTATGCTGATTGACAGATACGATGACTTGAAAATTTGTGTCAGACGACGTTACGTTAAGATATCGCTAAAAATATTTTCCTACACTTCAGTTGTTGCGTTTCCCGCCAGTTCGCCTTTATACACTGTCCATCCTTGTCCCTCAGTCTTCGGAATAAGTCGATCTACAAATTTCCACGATCAGATACGCGTTTTAATAATATTGCAACGACTTACTTCGTCGGGTCGTATAGGGGTAACAACAGGAAATACAATCCAAGTGGCACACTCGGGATTATCGCCGATGTTTAACGACCCTGAATATGTGTAGTACCTGCTGCAATAGGTTGCACAGCGCATAAACGCTAGGGAGTCTAGAAGAAACGTAGAAACATTTTGTAATATACGCGTGTACTATCAAAGCTTGTGTAGTAAAAGTTCATTCATGATCAGTTGTAGCAACGGAAATCTGCTTGCAAAATGAACCAGAATTTTTAGAAGAAGTAATAACGTCCATTAAAAATTTAAAAAAAAAAATTTAATCTTCGATTCTTAATGAATATTTGTCCTAATAGCTTCTATGCTCAATTAAACAGTTTCAATATCTTCTTATTATCATCACTTACTGGGTGGTATCTTCGTCTCCGTATCAGCATCGACAACGTACTTCAGGTTCTCCGTGATTCTTTCCATCTGCGGGTTGATACAACCGCAGCAGGTCGGCTGTACCTTTCAGAATGTTTGAAGAATTTTGTATTCTTAATTAGTGATATCGAGACATGATTAAGAACGCAATACCAAAGCTGCATACTAAGAACAAATACGCCAAAATGCATATGCCGTCTTTGTGCCTCTGGCATTCCTCGAAAGTCACGTATTTCCTGTTCCAGTGTACCGCGTGACTCTCCATCGAGTACCTTATCGATTTCGAGCTAGTGAGAATTATTGTAAATAGATGTGGGAGTCTATCGGTTAATTACCAGGTGCCATTGATCGTGTGTTCGGCGCCACGGCAGTTATCCTCGCCCCAATGGAAATGTACCTCGGCCATTTCGTACACGTCGTTGGCGAGAGGACCGCCGCTGATCGTGGATGGAATTCGATCTCCAGTTAGAAATATTTTCACTAATTATGGAAACGTACGTTGATGATTTTCTATTTGCGCGAAAGGAATCAATCTAATCCATACTCGAGCTGGATTAACCCATTCACTGCCAGGCAAATTGAAAGCGTTTTGCCTTGGGCTCCAAGATTTAATACAGATGTGTAATTTACGTTTTAATTTTGATAATAAAAAGTGATATAAGGTAACAGAGACATCTTGTAGTTGGCAGCGAATGGATTCTATATACAACACTGAAAGTACCTAAATTTTCTATTTTTATGATATATCTAGTCTATGGAAAATTGATATTCCAATTGAATTACCAGTGTGGCCAGTATTCAGTAAACGGGCTTCTCCATCTTGTAACCAGTGTCCATTCATAACAAGAGGAGGATATCTGCGCATTCGTACTAACTTATCGTCTAAATTGATCGGAGATTGTCCCGTGGTCGGTAAGCCTTGGAAAAGATCACGAAAATATAAATGCATCGCCTGACTTAAACTAACCAAAAACTGAAAATTCCCTTTTTCTCTGTACCGATTAAACCTGTGTATCCTGACATTGTTTCGATGTACGCTGAAAATAGATTAAAATGCAATTTACATTAGTCAAAACATACTTGAAAATTTATCTTTTTTTTACGGAAATCATGATGGGAGAGTGTTGTTTGTATTACATAATTAAGGGTTATGATTTACTGTGACATTTGAGAAACATACGAACAGCTGAGTGGGATTCTTTGTATTGATTCGAATACAACTTTGAAACGTTTACAGAAATAAATAAGTAACATAAGCATACAGGTAGTGCTGTCGGAAAGCTCGGAAAAGCTCGGGAACTATTTCACAACAAACTTGGGCGGTTTGCCGAGAGATGCCGCTACATTTTTCTGGATTTTTATATTTTTAATAAAATTGATATCAATAAAAAAAAATGCATCGGATGCAAAGGGTTAAATAAATAAGATTCCTCGCATTCGCCGTGTTAAGCTTAAAGATGAAAGCTCGGCTTGCTTTTCCCCATTTTCCGCTAGCACTGCATACAGGACCTCCTACTTGGTTTTTCAATTTTTCACGCAACTGCTTTGTCCGTGGCGAACAATATTCTTCTTCTACGAAGAGGCTGCTGCTGTCTGTGATTTTCTAATATATGCTCCAATCTGGCGTCGTAGAGACTTCGAAATGCATCTATCTGTTACGAAAACGAAAAGTAATCCACGGTCCTGCGAGATCGTGTGGGTAATACGTTGTTTGAGAATATTCGAGTTGGAAGTACCTGACGAAACGATATTTTCGTTACAGTTGACGAAATCATCCAAATGACACATTCGTTATACGGGGGAATAGTGAGGGAACCGGGATAAGTATAGTAACCATGACCCATGCACGCTTCTAACATCCAGAGGAGACAATCTGGACAATTTAGAAAAGTTAGCAGTAATTGTGCTAAGTAAAAATAGTAATTCATGATTCAAAAGGGTATAAACTTATCCCTTGAGTAATTGGAATCAATTTGAACTACGAGACATCTCGTAGTTGGCAGTGAATGGGTTAAATTACAACAGAGTTAATACCAGGTGGAATTGTAGTATTGCTCCCCATGATCTTGATCTTGGACAAGTTGTCCGTGATCGGTGACAGGGAGGGATTATCAGGGATTCCAGGACAACCAACGACCTATTCGAATATGTATTACGCGCAAATTGATTCCATGAATTGTAATCGGAATTCCTACCTGCATGAGATACGATAGTATCGCAATTCCGTCTGGTTTATCGAAGCACCTTTCCACGGATCCATAACGGGTGTTCCAATGCATTATTTGTGCCTCCATGGAGTACCTGTATCGAATAGTTTATGTGGAATCTGAAATATTGCAATGTAGGGGAAATAACAGGTTACAAGGGGAATTTTCTAACCAGATACCGTTTACAGAGTGTTCGGCACCTAGTGAATTTTCAGCGCCCCAACGAAATTGCAAATTCATAAACTGAAATTCGTCGTTGTCCAATGGACCACCTCTCATCGAAGGCAGTGTTCGATCCGAAAACTCGATACTGACTGAAAATTTGTAGTGTAAGTATCCTCCTTTAGAGCCATTTAAAATTTGATAAAGACAATAAATAGTGACATTAATAAACAATTGACATTGATAAGAAGAATTATTTATTAATAAGTCCATTGATTTAGCCAATTGTTTTCTCTTTTTAGGAACTTTTTACTTCAGTAGAAAATCTTCGAAATAACCTGTTTTGCCCGTATTCGTCATCGTAGCCGAACCCTCGTTTGACCAATAGTTGGTCAGATATAATGGCGGAAATTTTTTAGTCCACGTGGCTGTCTTGCATAAATCAATTGGCGATTGTCGCCATTTAGGTAGTCCCGATGACGATGTTGAAAATAACCCACTGCTCCTCGAAACTTTCAAGATTAATAATTACAACAGAAATCAACTATTTTTAATGCAAGCTGAGATAACCTTCTTCGTCATACTAACAGAATTTCTTTGATCTCCTGCTCCACCCTTTTGTCGACATGTTTTTAATCACCACAGATACTTGCTACAAATTATTCTGAATATTTTTAGTCGTATAGCCAAAAGTTTTGTAGAGTAATTGAAATGTGTACGAAATGTATTAGTTACTACATATTGTAATCTTTGAAATGAAGTTAGTTACGAGCTGCATGCATGACGGTACAATATGACTTTTCGAAAATTTAAATTCCCTTTTGTGTGCAGTGGATCTTGTCTAAGAGATTCGTGGTTATCCCTACGACTTCTCAGTATTCGAGTCAAAAACCTCGAGAAGATAAAACAGTAGCGGCAATTACGCATTTCGTGTATTTTCCAGACATTCTTAGTACATCAGACTTTGATTATACAACTAAATTTGATATACACAATGGTTTTTCATTGAACAAAGTGACTTTCCAGACGAGATAATGTATAATTTCAAGTATAGACGTGGTTCAGCTGACGTAATAAATTACGCGACCGTTTAGCTTCTGCACTTCTCGATAATTTTCTTTTATACATGCGCCTTGCTTGTCGCACAGCATCCGAAACAACTTCACTTGGTTTTCGGAAATTCGAACTGGTTCGGGAAAAACGATCCAGGTGACGCACTCGTGGAATGGAAAAGTCGTGATGGATCCCAGGTAATTATAATAACCCGGTGTTTGGCAGGCCTGTCTCATCCAGCCCAAGCAATCTACGATAAACAAGTTGATAAAAACTTATATAGCATATTACAGGGAAATCAAGTATAATTTAGAATAAACTAGTAAAATAGAGCATAATACTGCAAAATACAAAATATTTCAGCATTTAAAGATTATACATAGTAATGCAGCAAATAAAATGTTGTCTTGGCCATACTTGCTGGCAGTTTCGTGACCGTGTCAGCCTGGATGATGTTGCACAAGCTGTCGGTGATCCTCGAAAACAATGGGTGTTCGTCCCAGACGGGCATGTGATAGGCTTGCAGAAAGTACGAACAGATCGCGAGTCCGTCTTTCTTGCCCCAGCAATTCTCGATCGTCTCGTATCTCTGGTTGAAATGTACTGCTTGGGCTTCCATTGTGAACCAAGTGCCATTCAAGGTGTGCTCCGCGCCTTTACAGTTCGAAGAACTCCATCGGAACACCACTTCCGACAACTCGTACACGTCGTTTGACAATGGGCCACCTCGAATTGTCACTGGACTCTTTTTTCCCGCAAGGGTTATTTGAGCTGGTGAATATTTACAAATGTCAATGTGACACTAAACATTGTACAAATAAAACAAAAAGTTCAGAAATGCGATGAAATAATGTATATTGTTTTTTAAAATTCTCTTTATAATATAAATTCAAATAAATATTGTAAAATGCATAAATACAGATATAGATTTCGTCTAACGGTATATAAAATTAATAAGAAAGAATAGCCAAAGAATAATCGTAAGTAATGTTACAATATTTGTGGAACTGGTGGAGTTCATTCCAACGACAATAAAAATAATCTCCAAACATTCGTTTACCCGTCTTGCCAGTATTTCGCAGTTTTGCTTCGCCATCTTTGCTCCAATGACCGCTCATAACAAGCGCAGGAAATTTAATTCCGACAGCTTTGTCCTCCTCGATGTCGACCGGAGACTGGCCCCATTTTCGACCGTCGCCTTAGAGAAGGTCATTATAAAATAATCATGTCGCTTAGTTACATTTTAATCGATGAAAACAGTTCTCACCCGCACACTGCATTTTATTTCATAGCTTTCGCTATATCCGTGAAAATATATAATTTTGTTCTGTCCTATGACTATTCTCCAATTTAGATATATTATCAAATCTTGCGTGCGTTCGTTTCACATATTAAACATTTAATTTTCGTTATTCGTCAGAAATAAGACAACATCGATCAGCTCGCGTCCAGGTTCGAACAATTAAATCGTCCGTTGCGCTTGAAGTTGTCTTCATATAAATCACATTTGATACTCCCGTTTCTGGTTAACGTATCTCGATTAATTAGGGGATCAGTTTGAAACGTAGCTAAAATTTTCAAGTAAAATTCCTGTATGTGGAGCTCGTGACGTGCCATCGACTCTATAAAACGATTCAAAATGATTAATATTTCTGTGTCAGAATTCATGATAGTGTGCAGCAGCATTCTTCTCGTCTGTAAGTCAAGCAATATCTTTATATTCATGTACGAAATATACATGTATAAACTGAAGTATGCATTTTATCCAGATTAACGTTTCTCAAATTTCAACTTTCAAGGAGTCCATGAATAAAGTAGAAGTTCTTATCAACCCCTATTTATGTCTCAATAATTTTTATTCAATATGAACACTAATTAACTTGTCCTTCTTGTTTATTAACCCATTCTTTTCATCGAATAGTATTAAAAGTACCAATTCTATTAACTATACCTCCAATTTGAGAAACTCTGATCTAGATTTTTATTCGAAATAAAATATATTCGACCACTGAATCATTCGTTATCACGAATCAAATTTTTAAAGTTTTACTGCTGACCGAAATTCTGGATTGGACACAATTATTCCCGTGGCTGGAAAACGAGTGCCATTTCCCTAAATTCTCGTTTGGCTACTCGGAGCACAATGGTCCTCACGTGTGGAAAGTGTTGTATCCGGCCAGTAATGGCAGCAATCAGTCGCCAATCAACATTACGACTCGGCTGGCTGTTGTCGTGCAACCATCGGAGCCTCTTCGATGGACTGGCTACAATAAAGGACCATTATCGATGACTATAGCGAATAACGGAAATAACGGTGCGATTTTTTCTATTGATTCGTACGAACGAAACCTTAGCCTATTCATGTTAGCCATAACTAGCATAATATACTACGTAAAAAGCGTTCTATATTGTTACTATACTCTACTTGTAACTACAATCCTGACAGAACCCAATACTTGACGTGCTATATTGTAATTACGCTGCACTAATTACTTTTATATACTACAGAACGTATCGTCAGTAAATTATTTTCCTTGGTTTTTGCGAATTTATCTCTAGGAATTAGTAGTATTGTGTCCTTAAAAAATGCACAACGTCACGTTACATTATGCTACTTCCAGTGATAGTGAACACAATGTGGAGAAGCTCGTCTCGGCCGCATATTCAAGGAGGAACCTTGACTAACATTTACGATTTCTGTTCGATGGTATTTCACTGGGGACAGTCGAACGGAGAAGGCAGCGAGCACACTTTAGATTACGTTCGTTTTCCTATGGAGCTGCAAGTGTGTCACATCAGTCGGAACTTTAATTCACCGTCGGAAGCCATCGCTGAAAAAGCCAGCGACGCCATGCTGATCGTGTCGTTCTTTTTCCAGGTCTATAATAATTATCTTACTACAAGTTTGAGCTGTTTAAAGTTTGAACAATTTTTTTCTAAAAGCAAAGAACGTACTTAAAATACTTTATCGTATCTAGAAGTTCGCGTATATTTTTTAAATTTATATTTGTTTAAACAATGATTTATCTTCCTCCATCGTTCTCAACTTTACGCCATTTTATAGGCGTGTTTTGAATACCGTCGCGAAATCTTTTGACTTTATTTTTATTTGAAGATTCTCTTCCGAAGATGGTAATTGCTTGACACAATATATGGGGAGGACGAAGGTTGAGGCACAGCTTTCCAGTTTAGGCTAGTTTCCAGTCAGTTTCGTTGATTATGTGTCCACGTTTACAGATTACGAATGCTGACAATCCTTACTTGGATCACATAGTAACAAATTTATGGCGAATCGCTCAGCCTGGCACCAAGTCCCACATTCCACCCTTCCCTCTGGAGTGGATTCTCTCACCTTTCGAAAAGCATTACTATATGTACAGTGGCTCTCTTACTCAACCTCCCTGTAGTGAAATCGTCACTTGGATCGTACAACCCGAGCCGATCGCTATATCTTCGTTCCAAGTAGAGTATTATGTTGCAGCGATTACAGTGGAGCTTCGATAGTTGCTGAAAACGGTGGAGGAAAGTGCAAGTATCGAAATTCGTACTTATGCAACTATCGAGGTTCCACTGTACTCGTGAAATAATCTATTTCATTATCTTTCTTAAAAAAATAGTTATTGGCCAGATGGATCGATCATAGTCCACTTTATTATTAATTATTGATCTTTATTACTAATAATAATAATGTAGATAACAATACTCGTTTGTTAACGAATAACCTTTAAATAGATGAACTCATGCTAGCAGAAAAAGCAAACTATATTCTCTCTTTAATTATGAATAAATATCTCCTTCTCATCTTTAAATAATTTCATTTAATTTCATTAAAAAATAGCCAATGCATATCAATCCACAGTATAATAATTTATTCTACAAAAGGGTTTAATGTGGAATATGACCGGTACTCCATGCCAGTAATTCATGTAAATTTGCGAATGATACGATACGAACAACTATGTAACATTCTATTCGAGTTTATTCTGTTTCATATTGTCAATATTGATTTTCGATACAGGTTGCGCAATTTCGAAAACTCCGCTCCGTGGACGGTCCTATCCTCTTAAACTGCAGGCCCGTTCAACGACTAAACGAACGCAACGTGTACTTCTACGAATAGCGCCCGGCCTCAAGCAACTTCCCTTTAAATGCCGTAAACACGTTTGTCCTATCGAATAGAAATTAATCGTCCGACTATACGCGTGCTTTGTGTACATACGTCGTCACGTCCGTCGATCCTGAAATCTCGTGAAACCACGGTAACGCGCGACGCTGTTGGAAATGTAAAAGTAAGTGTAAAAATCAGTGTCATTGTACAGAGAGCAGTGATTTTTATTGTTTCTCTACTATATCATTTACGAATGCGCGAAAAAACGTCCAATAAACGTCATAAGAAAATAAACGTGTAACAAAGTTAGATTCGCTTATCGCAAGGTACACTTTACTTGGCACGTGTTATTGTAATAGATTCTTTTATCATCCCTCAAGGTTACCCACGAACATAAAAACACCCTCTCGGTGGCGTTATAGAGACTATCGTAGAGGGGATGCATATCTCCGTTTCCCATTACGAAACGTGCACCCCGTTTTCTCGTAAGCGATTGGTAGGCAACTATGAATTTCTACCACACACATATACATAATAACTGCGTACATTCACTCTTCGACGGATATTTTTCTCCAGTAAAAAATCACAAGGTCGTTTCGAACATATGCGCGTGCCAATGTATATAAATCGCGAGGGTGACACGGCGGAGTCTGCGTAAAATCGTCAACGAACGTTTCATTGACAATTTTTTTCCGATAATGTTTATCCTATATTGACTTTGAAGGACCTCACGGGTTGTCAACGTGCATGTACATACATCGACACTAATTTTTCGGCATTGTTCATTCATCGACACGAATTTTGATCTATAATACAATTTCATGACGTCAAATTTGTCACATGAACGGACGATTAAGCCGATTGATAGTATTATAATACCAAATAGATTCAATTTACAAACAAATTTTGTCGGAAACATATTATCGATGAAAGTACGTGTCGATGACAATTGCTATCTGAGTACTTATAAATTGATGACGCATAAGTTTGTCAGACGTTGTTATGAAATTCGTTGTAAATATTGTCGACGTAACATTAGTTAATGATTTTAACAATAGAGCAGACCCAACGCGGAAAATGAGTTCGTGTCGCGTGTCGAACGAGATTCGGGGAAAGTGAAAATATTTTCTTCAGTTTCATTGCGCGATCGCTTCGTTCGCACAACGCGTCCTCATCGTCGGTTGCGTGTATTTACAAATCATTTTACAAAGAGAGTAACTTTAACATTGGTATTCCACGGTGTCTTTAACGTTGCATCATATTTTGGTTTACCACAAAGGAAACTAATTGTATTCTCTGTTTTGATTAATCTATCGATGTTCAAATAACAGTATCAACAAATTTTGTTTACGAAATTTACGTTACCTCGTGTATTATGTTTGTTGTTTACGCTATCATTCGCAAATATTTGAACGTAGTAAATCCAGGCAAATGTAATTTTAAATTCATTATTGATTTTATTTTTATAATTGATTCATAATCATAATTGAGCTGCACAAATCGATTAACTCCATTTTTTGAAAAATCTTATTAAAGTGTCGAAGCACTTGGTATAGTCATAACTTTTTATATTTATAATAACTTTCTCGAATAATAAAAATGAACACCATTGAACGACAACATCTTTTTGGTCATTGAGTAATAAATAATTTATTTCAGAGGGCATTTTGATCGCATTTCTCAAATTTTTCTTTTATAGAGTTAATCGATTTGTGCAATGAACGGCTCAATTATAAATGTTATGAATTATTTGAATTTATATAATTTAAATATAAACAAATGGCACGGAAATCATACTCTCAAACGCATTCAAATTCATATTTAGGAAGACAATTCCTCCCTTTAATATATTGCTCTAACACACCAACAAGGGGAGAAGAATCGTCTTCCACAATACCCATTCAACTTTATTCAAAGAGCAACTTATCAATCCTAATATTAAAGTTACTCGTCTCATGTTCGAATTTATACTTATCAACGACGTCTTCGCAGTGAATCACAGAGTAAACGATAATTTTGCGACATTCGTACTCGGAGTGAACACGAAGTGACTAACGTCTATGTACAGGATTAATATATAATATATATATACTTCGCTCTTATTCGAATTGGTACGATATTCCTTGAAACACACATAAGGGACGGGAATTGCTTAGAAGGTTCCGAGCAAGCACAGCTTTCTATCATACAACGAAGTTCGCAACCCCTCCGAGTGTCCCTCGAATTAATTGTGACTAAACCAGCGTCTTATCCTTATCGTTCTCCTAACGACCAATCGCTATCGCGTGTGTCGTTCCCATGATCTTTATCATTGCAAAATAACGCTATGTCAAGAATACGCATCCGTTTTCCACGCAATCACCCACGGGGAACCTGAAATTGATTTCCTTCCTGCTTTGCGTTCACGGGCGTGGATACCGTCGCTCAGTCCACTTCCATGTCTCTTATCGTTCGACAAAGGAAAGCTGAAGTTATGATTCCGAACGTCTGAAATTGTACATACCGTGATCAATATTTCATAGGGGGGAAATAGAGTCAAGGGTGATTCGTGTGATAACGTACTTGTATGCCAGCCATCCCCATGCCCAGAATCACTAAAGTGAAACTCTCACTCTGCAGCCAACTGGTGATTTTACCGAGACAACCCTACAAATATTTCGTTAACGCGAAGCAAACTATGGGGAGGAATACGAGGTCTTTGCATTTATACATTTTCTATATTTCTGTGATATAAATCCTTTGAGTGCCAGAAGAAATGTTGAAAGGATGAAAGAATTTTGAAAGAATATTTTATAAAAATGAAACGTTATAGGTTTAACAAAAAATAAATTTGAAGAGCGATATATCGCTACATGGCAGTCAAAGGGTTAAACTAATCGCAATGATATGACAATTTCTAAAAACGTACTCTATTTGCTACTCTAAGTGTGGTATCTACAGCGACTGTACTGGATAAGTAAAAGTGCTCGAAAATCAACACTCCAACTAGGTCAATCAAAGAACTGTATAAATATGTAACAACGATTTGAAACTGTACAAAATTCCCCTCTATCGTACCAAGCAAGATCTGTCATTTTTTATCACGGAATAATTCACTGGCAGAACGGAATTACTTACCTCTTTATGTCGATATCCATCGTGACCCTCTTTATCTTCCACTTGACACGCTGCCTCGTCCTTTGGCTTTGGATGTAACCACGGTTCCTCAGTCTTTTGCCAAAGAAGACATTTTTATTAATACGTTGCTCGAAAATGTTAAGAGTAATTTCATTTTCACTTACATTAATTTTGTGAAACACTCTTGACACAAAGCTCATCGGACTTCCTGTATTCGTTTTCTGTAAGGCGACAAAAACATAATTTACTATCAGTAACATAGTTGCATGAGTTTTTGTCGCGATTGAAATTTGAAAAACAAGGTCTCTAAAGAAGAATTTTAATTAAAAATACAAAATTAAGGACTTTAAGGAATATAGAATACTATTTTATTAATATTTAAAAAATAGATTCCTCGAACCAACAATTGATGATAATTGATGAAAGCGACAAGAGATTGAATATATTTATTGAAAGATGAAGAATTATTTGTCTGTCACTGATTGGACAGAAATAAGAATCCCAATTGTACGATGAAATATTCCAGAGGGAACAAAAATTTAATGGTCCGATCGATTAAACGTCGTCGATAAATCGTCACGAGACAGTTTTATTCATCATCTATTATTGGAATAAAATTCAGCCATCTTCAATCACGTCTGCGACCCCAATTTTTCATACAAGTCGACAGGGCGGTGTTGTAAAAGTTTTTGGGATATCGTCTGGCAGCGTACCTCGGTATTTTTTAAAACGCAGCACGTGAGAGGGACCTGCCTTCTGGTTCCTGAAATTTGCCCGTCTCTCCACCAGGCCGTGCCATTGTAGTCCCCGTATCCATGTATTCCACAGCAATTAAACTGCAATAGAATCACCTATATGCTCTTTGGACCATCATAATATGCCTGGATGGACGGTTCTCCGAGCGCAGCGTTCGCCATTCGTGCACGAAATAAAGAACAATGTCGAAAAATCGTCATTGTTGGCATTGGTCAGAAAAGATAAATTTCTTCGTGGAATGCGAGAAATCAGGAAACATTTTCAAAACATTTTCCATTCTATTTCTAGGTTAATAATAAGATCAGTCAAGTATTTTGTCCACATTTTTCCTCGATAAATAATCGACGCTAATAACTTTGTTTACTCATAATTTGGTTCAAGTTTTCTTGTTACAGAAAAAGTTTTAAAATAAATATTCGTGGCTTATATTTGCCCATTATCCGAAACATTGTTTTGCGCCTAGGAGCCACTCGAATGCATCTAATCCGTCACTGGATAAACACGCTCTGAGAATAGATAATCGATTGCTATAATTATTAAGGCAATTATACCTTATACTGCGCGAAGTCGAGACTTTGGCTAAATGGGTCGCTGTTCGGTTCGTGGCCGTAGTCGTCGGCTAATTTGCTAATGAGTCTCTCTTCTAATCCGGACAGTATTTGAAACGTCATCACTCCCCCGACAATGGCTGTTATCAGTTCTGTGACGATCAGCGCGACCAGCATGCACATATACTGGACAAAGAGGATTGTATTATTCACTTTGTGTCCTGTAACGCTGTAACAGTGGTTCTTAACCTTTACGAACTTATAGCACAGTTTAAAAGAGGACTTCAAAGGTAAACTTTCTGACCTCGCAATATAGGAAGGCAAAAATCTCGCAGGCTTTCGAATAATTGTAATTAGGGAAATTCAACAGTAAATTGTTTGGAAAGTATACATTTAACGAGAAGAAAAATTTAATTTAGAAGATAAAGAAAGGATTTCTATATTTATGTTTGAACCAGGTAAATTTACACTGTATTCTTATATAAACTCACCCCATGATGTTAGGAATATTAATTGATGATTTTAATCAAATAACTTGAATATTCATTATGTAAAAATATTAATGTAAATGAGCTATGGACACAAGCTTTTGTAACTGTACAAGGTGTAAATGAACTTCACGTACAATTTTTGAAGATTGATAAAATTCAGGAGCAAACAAATTTTACTAATAAAACGTCAATAAATAATTCAACATCTACTAATTTCTAATTGATCCAACGGTTTTATACACTATCAAAAATAATATTTCGTCAGGCAGATTATCAAAACGTTTACGGTATAGTTAAGAATCACTGTGTTGAAATAAAGCTCGTGATGAGGGACACTGATGACACTTACGGCTAAAATGCATTGATTTTTGCGCAAAACGAAGCAACATCCGAAGAAACCGACTGCGACCACCGTGACACCGAGCCCGAGTAAACTGTAAGCTATTGAGTTACTAGTCACGTGCGGCGTGGCGTCAGGTACGAAGAGATTTAAGAGATGTCCTTTGCTTGGCTCAAACTGCAACCCTATACCGAGTACCGTACCCCCTGCCAACTATCCAACAATTTTTTTTCATGTAACATTTAGTGAGGGTAAACACGGCGCAGGACAAAATGATAGCACACCTCGAATTGGTATACATTTAAACAATACATAGGCGACAGGCAGACTAAAATTTTAATATTGATATCATTATTTATAGAACAGGGTTGGGCGCCATGATTAATTCAGCGCACTTAACTGTGTTTTTAATTTGGTTTTTTATCGAATTATTAGGAGAAATCATGTAAGGTAGAGTGGATAAAAGGATAGCACACTGCAGGAGAAATAACAGTTAATTCACGTGCACGATAAAAGTGTGTTTATATTAATATCTCGATGGATTCGTTGGCTCTTTCGGCGAAGAACATTTGTTGGGTTATGGTACCAACACCTGATGCTTGCTGCGGATCGATATCCCAAAAGCCAGCTGAAGATATGATACGGTAGGGTGCTATATGAATCTGATTTATACTTGCTTCGGCAAGGTAGGGTATATCTACCATCCACTTGTGGAATCGATTCAGCACTTGGAAATAATAAAAGGAAGGCCATGTAACCAATATAAGACCACATCGTGCGTATATGCTCAAGTATCGTATTCTAAGACTTAAAGCTTAAATAAAAATGGTATTGCACAGAAACCGAATGGATGTTTGAAAGAGTGAAGATACATTGGTAAAAATAAAATTGAGTTGAAAAATTCGAATACCGAAAGAATGGAGCGCTAAGGAAATTTTTATGAAATCAGCCTGACAGTGGACGCGTTAACCCAGTTCCCAAGTTACAACGAGTTTTCAAGATACAACGACTTGTATCTGCTTGTCTTCGCAAAAGAGATCTTGTAAGCTTTCGTGGTTCCCTAACGGATGATACTGTTTGCGGCTTCTTGGTATGAACCGTGTCCTTTGGGACGCACGTGCGTCGTTCGGACAGTATTGCAACTTTACGAAGAGTTTGGATAACGTAACATACTGTCGCGAGTTCTATAGCTCCTGTATACGTTTGGAAAAAGAAATTAAAAGCACACCACTATCATTTAGGATACGATCGGGCTGTATGATTGCTTCAGCGCACGGCGAACATGGAAAGTAGTGGCGCTATAGGGCGAAGCAATGCGCCACAACGACACTGATGCGTTTATGGCACCTGTTTCGAATGTTCAGACCACTGGTCAACATTTACAGACGTTCAGCTGAATAAAAGACGTTTAGGTTATTCTAGTGATCCGTTAAATAGTGTATGAAAACAGTGAGAGAATATTTCTGATGTTTTAGAATATTTTGTTCTGAGATCCTTGGAAATTAGCCATTGATTTGATATCTAATTCTATTGTTTCAAATTGGAAGTGTAAGGTGTAAACAGTTCGAGTATGCTACCACTTTGTCTTAGTATAGGTACTAGGTATAGGTACAGGTTACTGTCCATTTAACATTTAATATGTTTATTTTCAAGGGAAGATTTGACACTGTGAAGTATCAACTGAATATCTGTGAAAAATGCAAGGTGGTTATCATTTTGCCCTGTTGTATAAATTCAAACACTAGTTTCTATAACATAAAGGTACTAATCAAACTACTTTAGACTATTAACTTATTGATCTTAAAGTAAACATGGAGCTTGTGGAATTAATAGTCAGAATCTATGTTTGTCTATATCTACCTATATTTGTTAAAAATATTTTCGTGTTCGTTATACTTAGTAGTCAATTTTTGCAATATAATGTATATATACATTCTATAAACGAATTCTGCAGAGTGCTGAAAGGGGTTCAGGGTTCAAAAGCCATATTCAAATTAACTAAAAAAATATGTGGTCAACGTATTTCAAAAATATTAACTCTATCAGATTGAGAATTGATTTTCAGTTTCGATAATAAACTGATTTAAATTTGAAATTATTTAACTGCAAGTATTATTCATTTATGAAGTATACAAATATGAATTGTTGTTATATTATGTTATGACATATGAACTCTATACGTTCTGTATATGTTTGCTATATTAGTACATGGCGTGTATGCATACAATTCGCAGTTTAGCAATTACTGATTGGTCTAACTGATCCTATATGTTCAATTTCATTGAATTATTCTCTGTTCCCCGTATCATAGGACAATGGTACTCTTCAAAAATTCCAGGCTTTATTTGCATCACTTGTCAAACGCATTTTACTCATTGGTTAGTAAAAGTAAAAATTTTTAATATTTGGAAGAATACAAAATTATTATTACTATATAAATTAAATGCACTTCAACCTGAACCCTTTTTTTAAAATACCCTGTATAGCAACATGCACATTTCATTAAAAAATAAGACCATTTCTTCTCTCGACAAATATTTTATAAATTTATCTTTCGAGTGCTACGATAAATATTTAAACTTCCAGTCGAAATTCAGAACGACACGGTGCTACGTGAACGAATAATCGTTTTAAGTAAATGTTTAATACCTTACCAATATCAACAAGTTGAGCGCGAATAGAACAATTTTCAAATATTTCATGCCGGTTTGTTTTAAGGCATCAAATAGTCATCGATCTGTAAACATAACGTTGGTCATGTGAATTACTTTGTCCTCCAGACGGCTCCAATTTTTTGCTTCGTTAAATATGAATAACACCGACATATCCAGCGAAAAATAAAGCTCGATTCGCCACGTAATTCCGAATAATAAAACACCTGAAATTTACATGGCTGTTGTATAATTATTTAGCAACGAAGGATATTCATTGGACTTTTAAATAAGCCTTTCTATAATGGAATTTTTAATTTTACTTGTATCCCAGTTCGGCGGTGACGCGCGTTGCTTTTAAATTTTTACAACCCAAATAAATATAGGTACGTCAGTGGCGATGTTTAAATGGTCCAGATTGGACGTGGGAACCAACAATTCTCGACGGAACGGCTGAAGGTTGAAAATTGAAACCACGATGTACGGATAACAAAGGCAGACACGCGAATAAAAATTTATTAATTCGCGTGGAAAAATTTAAATTTGAGAAGAGTGTTGTGTGTAGGAATTTTTGTTTCAAGAAATAAGAGGATTATTTAATTTTCAGTTCCCTACATTATTTCTTAACTATTGGTTGTTCTCAAAAATTAAAAATTCGACAATATATGAAAGGGTACCCTTCGTCTTCTTTCCTGAATATTGCTTCAACTTTTACTAATATTATTTTACATTGGTCAATTTTTTATTTTCGTACAATACGTATAGCCAATTCGTCCATTGAAATTTATATCCAACGAAGAAAATTTATGAAAGGCACAGTCGACGAGTTTTTAAAACATCGTAACGGAATAGGCGAGCAATAAAAATTGCTAAATTTTTCATTGGGCGTTTATTGCCTGGTGAGAACAAAGAATGGATCGACTCATTTAAGTCAGATCACCGTGGAAACTAAGCTTGATAGGGAGAGCCTTTAGAACCTCCGTTTTACTCGGGGGATGCAATTATAACTTGAAGGTGGACATTGTGCGCTCACAAAGGGGCTCGGAAATTTCTGCGAAGCGAATACTACGCGACGTACTATTGCGAAAGTCATGGTAACACTTGTGTCAATAACCGAAACGATCATGGTTGTTCAATAATCAGGCTACTCAAATATTTCAAATGGCTATTCTAACAAACTATTTCTTGAACTTACATACAGCAATAGAAATACTTGCGAGTGTAAGGAATAAAAATTGGTACCTTGAAAACTGAAAAATAGGTAATAATTTAGCACGATGCAGGACACGTTGACAAAATAATCGATGACCAATGGTAACGTTTGCCTAGTATAAACTCCATATTGGTGCGTTCGTAACAAATATAGACAAAATATGGATACAAATTTCGAATATCGAATGAAAGAGCGACTGTACCTTGTCTCGTAAAAAATACAATCTGGATTATGAAATGAAATTATAATTTACTTTAAATAAACAGAAACTCATCTGAATAACTCTTTGATGGAATGAATATTGGAAATAAATATCTCTATGGAGCTTTCATTCGTCGTTCATTATTCCAATCAAATTTAGCCAATTTGTGCGTCATACATCGACGGTTTATACTAGACAACGGTACGATATTTAAACCACGCAAAACAAAAAACAACGAAAAGCTGTTCGTAGTAGATAAAAAATTTAATAAAAAATGGAAGTAATAGAATGTTGAAAAGAAAAACAAGTAACATTTTTACCAAAATTGATGGAAGAAATATTAAAGAACATCTGCAAACGCATGAATAACGAGATTTTTTCCACGATATTAGCGGATGAAAGTATGCTCAACAGGCCAATATTCCATCGCTGAAACGAAGGCAATTAGAAAGAAGGGAGCAGGAGGATCGTGGTATATACAGTTCGCGACGTTCACTTGGTCTTATAGTATAGCGCCGAAACGCTAGAAATGCTTTGACATTTTTGTCTGTAGTTTCAGGACTTGATCGAAATTACTTGACAGAGACGATTTATCTTCACTTTTTATCCTCCGAAGAAATAAAATCTTAACAGTGTGTTCCTGTTAGTGTCACACGAGGTAAATTCATTTAAAATAATTAATTGAATCGCTGATATCAAGTGTCATCTCTTTGTTTCTCTTATTTTGATTTCTCTCCATTTATCTACATTTTGTTTAGAAACCTGTCTAAGAGACGCTTATCTCTGCTACTTCGTGAGACTACTCGTCTTGTACCAGACGTGGAAGATAACGATGAGAAGTTTGAGTTTGGAGAGGATTTAAGAGCGATTGCGTTTGAAACTCGGCGCCTCTTAGACAGGATTCGCTGCATTTCGCACCGTTACGTTGAGGTCTGGTTAATTGAAAATTTCTGTTTGCCGTGAAACATTATCTCAATCGATACTTCTTCGAAGTTCCTCAATCGCGGTTCTCGTCAACAGAATCGTCACTCGAATTTGTACCAAACTAATCGATTATGGACACAAGGGTTCAGCATACGGCTGCACAGTATCAATTAGTACGTTAGTCGCGTTAAAACAACATCGAAATTGGTCGAGATCAAGGGCTTAATCCATACTAACGCGAACGGGGTATGCCTGGGTTTCCATCGAGAACCGGAAGTTCACAGTTAAACGATCGCACTTACATTCTTATTAATTAATTCGAATGGTTACGTGCGCGAAAATTAATTAAAACCACTGACGTTCACGCCAGGAGTAATTACAGTGAAGTTAATGGAAACCACGTTGAAAACAATCGTTAACAGTTTTCAATTGGGAGGGGGTGGGGGGAATGACCGAAGTTGAAAGTAAAAGTTACACAAGAAACGAGAACGAGCAACATTCGAGTAATAAATAAACAACTATATTTAATCTTTGAGGAATGCTTCATTTTAGAATTTAATTGGTACACTGGGAATGTTTATGTATTTATGACAAATGGAAATATGCACAAGTGTGAAAATGTTTAAAATATAAAATACAGGTTTAAAAGACAAAACATATTTTAATTTACATTTGTGTTCTTCACGTGTGTATATAAAAATATGACTTTGCCTCTAAAGATCCACAGTTTATTAATTAGTAAATGATAGACGGTTGCTCAGGTTCTATTAGTTACTTGAATGTTTCCTCTAGATTAGAATTTTGCCTATCTTTGACTGAAGAGCTGGGGAGAATGACCCGTGCGTGAAACTTGGAGCTTAGGTGTGGTGGTTCAAATTATGCTAATGGCTGTGCTACATAAAGTCCATTCCAAATGTATTATATAAAAAAGAAATTAAAGGAACTATTCATTTATCGAAGAAAGAAACACGAAGTTCTCCATTGTGAGTTTATAGCATGATGAGAACAAAGAACGGATCGATTTAAATCAGATCGTCGTGGAAACTAAGCTCATATAAAAAAATATTGCGTAAAAAATAAGTACAAAGTAAGTTAATAATTAAACTACTGATTCTATACATTTATGATCTATGCTAATATAAAAGAACGCACGTAAAAATGTTTTTCTTCTACCTACACTCGGATAAAATAATTTGTCACAACGATCGTTGCTCAGGCCCATTCTCAACAGCTCATCAAAACCGACGCAAGACCCAAGTTCGTCTATGAACACATACAACTACGTACGACTACATTACTTGCCATATTACCAGTAACGTTCGTGTCAACAGGCTTCAGCAGCAACGCGGTCGTCGACGCCAATCCCACCACTCACTCAGGAGAAACAGAAAAAATAAAGAAATAAAAACAAGATAATGAAAAAGCTCCAGTCGTGTAACGACGAACGACACTGCTATTTTCTAAGCGAGAAATTCCTTAAATCCATTCACAGGTGGTCATGGTTGGCACTTCCGTCATCGAGGGTTTCGATCCTCGTCGTCCTGGCGATTAAATTCAAAACGAAACCTCGGGCGTTCCAGGCACACCGATCAAAATCGACCACGGACGAGTTTCGTCAACCCGAGGGACGTTTGGTTGGTGAAATTGGAATAAATTGCGATGGTCACACGTGCCGATTCCCGTGGTTCTGTCGCGAGACTCGATGGTTCACCCAACACTCAGGAGAGGATCCTGGCGCGTACTATCGCGTCGATGCCGTCGAGGGTAAATGCTGGCAGCTCTCACAGCGTCTGCTTCGGGAGCGGCACGCTCACTATGTCTCCCTTTTCGACCAGCTTCCTCCCTTACGTCGTCTGGAAGCTGGGTACAGATGCGGCTGCGTCGCGTCGTGACGGCGCGGCGCCGACACTCTCTCGTCGCTTCTAGTCGATCCACGCTCTTTACCGAGACATCTCCTCGCCCGATCACCCTTTGTCCTGTCGATAACGGAACGTCCACTGTTCGACCACTGACCGATTCACCAGGCACGGGACCAGCTGACGAGTTCGAGTGGTAATTAGACCGATTGCACGACCGCGATCGAACGGGATTGGCCTCGAGCATTCCAGCTGGGGGATAGTGTTGTCGGGGACTTTGCGTGGAAGTATTTGTAGCCTAAGGGTATCTGGATATTGTTTGGTTGGAGCCCAGTACTTGAGGGTGACGTTTGAATGGGGAAATAATTCGAGAGTGCTTGAATAGACGGGCAGTTAAATAATATTCGAGCAGTCAAGCTTCTAACAGTACTCTAGTAATCAAATATTCCAACCTGTTAACAGCTAGAAATCAAGCAACGACAAGTCCATACATATATGTATACGCCGAACGCAGGGCAAATGGTCCCGTTTTAAATTTTACGAAAAACGACGAAGGATTACATTTTTATTTAACAAAAAAGTTATCAATTCGTTTGTGAATATGTTATTCTTACTAAATGCTTGAAAATTGTTGAAAAGTAATAAAATACATAAACAAGAAAAATTGAAGAAAGAAAATAATTAAAAGAAATTTCAATTCATTTAGGTGTGACATTATTCGAAGCATTTTGCAGCGTCTAAGGTTTACGAATATTCAAAATTTCTACCATTTGGTCACTTACAACCTGGAATTATTGTAGCGAGCCACAGTAAACCCACTCGGGCATAATTAGTGAACTAGTTCTTGAGAGATTAATGAGACCCATAGACATAACGTTTGTATCCCGTGGTAATTTGTGCAGCTATGGTTGGCACTGGTGTTTGGACGACGATTGAGGAGCTCGCAAGGGGGCCATACAGTCGCACCCTCTGAGAATTTGATGACATTTAGAGGGTTGAAACTGGAGGTCGAATGACGATGTCCTGTAGAATATTTTATTTCAACGGTTGCTTCTAATAAACATTTAAATCCTGTTATACTTCTTGATGCTTTTACAACCTACGTCATTTATCGATTTGTCACAATTAATATAATTCGCTTATTCCGGATTTTCGAGGTCCCGCAGTATCTTCAACGTGGGAATGATATCCGCAAGGTTATTAGTCCAAGTGCTGCACGATTCCGTAGAGCGGTTTGCTCTTCCATAGACTTGTTTATCGAGTATTTCGGAAAATGCGAAACAGCGTGCAGTTAAAAAATTGAGCATATGTACCGTTTTTTTATTGATTTGCTGTCTGTAGACCACCCTGCGAAAGCGTTTTACATTGTTGCGAAAATTTTATAGAAAAGTACTAACTGTAATCCAATTTTACAGTATGTGTAACTATTGCAAATGGTAAATATTATTTACTGTACTCTAGATTATGAAACATTAGTAATTCGAAGTTTAAAAAGTGATCAAGTGATGGAGGACACGTGGGTATTTAAATATAATAGATTTATTAGATATTAACAATTTTTACAGCACTCGTATCTCGTTAATCTTAAACAATACACAACTAATGAGTAGATGTTAACGCTCCAGTCGACGGACTGGCGACGCACGTGGGTTACATTACCACCTAAATTAAGTACAAATAATCAAATACCAGACTCATCAGTACGTATCTTGAACGCTTACCACGCGGTTAGAATATATTTCATCCATTCAGTTTGGCATTTTTATGGTCAATTTATATTAGCATATCGCATGCATGTAGACGATTTAACGATATTTTTACATTTTTTTAAAAAAAAAAGGTGAAATTAATACATATTCGATTATCGCGTTAAGTACAATGTCGTTAAACTTGCAGTTCCTATAGTTGGATCAAAAAGAAAGGAGCACTCAAGCCAATTCATTGTCTTCCTGAAGTTCGTACAGTCAAAGTCAAAGCTTTCTAAAACGATTACTTTTTGTGTATTTTTTAAAAATTATTTCTTCAATCAGAAACGGCATCGAGCAACCAATTTAATTTGATTCAACTAGAATACACTTGAAATACGCTCGACTCATTCTACGTCTAGCGATACTTCGTTTGACAACTCAACCATTTTAACCCTTTGCGATTCACCTATGCTTATTTTTGATCAACACAAATTTGAAGTTTCCTCAGGCATTACTACCAACGCATAGCCTGATTGTTTCGGGGTGCAAAGGGTTAAAGCAGTCAAAGTTAACCGAGCGGTAACCACCTCAAAGGATCACTCAAGAACACAGTCCGTTGAATCACATTTTCCTACTGGCGCCACCGCTAGCTGTCGGCTGCAGTTGAATTTTCGGAGCCGCAAGAAAGAAAAAAATTATAAAACGCCCACGCCTGATCGAGAGAGCGCGGAAAACTGATACGTGCATTGTTAAAGGGAGGCTTCGTACCGACGTGGACGCAAACAACGACGCGTACCATCGGTTGAACACCGTTAAAAATAATCAAATAATATGAGCAACCGAACAGTTATAAATAGAACGATATTATTATACAATGGTTTTTACGTAGGTTTCTCATACATATACATATATAAAATAAGTTCACGGGCCGATGACATTTACATAATACACACACGACACACACACATGTATTCAAACGCGTCTCTTATAGATCTACGGTTTTATCAATTCCTTACAGCTACGATGGACGGTACGCTGACTGGTAATAATAATTACCATTTGAATATAAATATTATTCAGATATTATTATATTCAAATGGTGCGATGTGATTGTGTTTCAGTTATCAAACATGGCCAAAGTTTCTGAAGCAATTACAACCGGATATTTTTAATTTTATGTTTCGATACCATGTACAAAATACGCTAGATTCTTTGCTTAATATATAGACTGAAGAAACACAGGGGTTGCTTGTTATACTGTTGCATATAACCTGATATGGTTGGTTCGAAAACTAAATAGTAATGTGCAAGTGATTTTAGTAAGTTTTTTCATATTTTTATATCTTTCCTTTTTACCAATTAAGTCTCTAAATAACCTCCTGAGGCCTTGTAACATGATCCAAAATTTTACAAAAAAAAAAAAAAGAATACATTGGATGATACCATTTCGGAAGTAAGAGATTCATCGCGTAACAAGCAAGAAATATCGACGAAAACATTTTGGGACGGGGATAATAAAATATTTCACGCTATAGATATAATATAAAAGTCGCTTGAGTGGGGATCTCGGTTTCATTAATTACATCATTAAATTATATTCGACAACCTAACGGACAACGTTGCATAGTCAGGCACGTTGCATCCGAGCAAAATAGTATAACTCACATTTAAAGTCGTTGTGTCGTAAAATCGATGGCGATTTTGTTGTACAGTCTGTTCCGAGGTTTCGAGAAACAACGTTCTCTACCTCGTTATATACTCGATTTGCATTATAACAAATATTATTTCTAGCGTTCTACTTGAAAATGAGGCTGAGACTAGTCGCGAGTTTCAGCGATTCAAATATTCACTTCCGCATCCAACTTTGCGCAGTGAAAGAGAATCTAAATATTGCTGGATTATAAATGAAGTTCTTTTAATTTGATGTTTTTCTTTGAAATTTTATTTTTATTTGGTTTTCGAGTACTCGAGGAATGTAATAATAGTACTCGATTAGTCAAACATTGGAATGATAACATTCCATTGCTTAAACATTCATATAATGTTATTGAGACGCTCAAATATTAATGTATTCGATACTCAATTATTCACATATTCAAATACTGATATTCGAATTCTCAAATATTAAAATAATAATGATATTGGAGTTTACTCGTATATTAAAATAATGGTTCTCGATCTTTCAAATATTATATTATTGATATTTGAAGACTCAAATATAATAATAATGGTGCTCGAATACTCGACTATTCGAAGCTTATTCTCAACATTCGAATACGAGTAAAATACTGGAGTATTAAATTGTTCGAGTAGTCCCAGTTCCACATGCAACGGCAAATGCCTTTTGGGGCGTTTCTAGCGCACAGAAAGAAACGCAGGCTTTTTGTTCGTCATGCGAGCAAAATACTCGCGACCTCGTTTCGGTCGCGGCGCGCACACGCGGCGTATTCATCGGGACAAGTCGATTCAAAGTACGTCGCGCGGAACGAATCTTGTAATTGTTTAGAATCGCAATTCTATCCGCCCTCGGCTTCGTTATTACGCGTTTCGACGGATAAACTGCGCGAGAAACGAGCAATTTCGCACGGTATGAATCTCAAAAATGTATAATAACTCCCGCTTGTAAGAAACCGAATTGGGTCATTACTTTTCATACGCTCGGGGTTCCTTTTCCCATCGATCGATATTTCGCATACCGTTGAGTGGTTTCGCGCGAATCGAGTTTTGAGCAAACTTTATTTCGGACGAAAATAAGCATTTCGAATAACGTTTCAGTCTTTCATTTCCTGTTGGGTCGTTTGAAAATAACTCGTGGCATTGATTCATTTCGAATAGTAGGGGTAGCCATCTGAAAATATATTTGGCTTTCTATATTTCTTATTTTTAATCGTAGATTTTATTAGCAAAGTTTGTATAGAGATCTGCTTGACCTTAAAAATTCCTTGCTGGACTGAAAAATGGCCCTCTGCGGTATATTTAATACAAGTTGTTAATATTCGTACAACCATTGCAATAATACGCAAAATTCAACCCATCGATCGATGCTAAAGGAACAAAATAAGAGCGGGGGGTGATTCCTAGTCATCCGGGGAAAAATCATGCTCACGAGCGGAAGGTACTACGACTTCTGAGAATATGAGACCTGAGGGGGACCACTGCCCAAATTATACACCGCAATAGACCCTCGATCGAAGTGGTTGGTCACTTAGCATGCAAAGATGGAGGATGTAAGTAATTGGTAGAAGCGCCTACAGGCAGTAGAGATACGATATAGATGGGAGCCCTTCTCATTGGATTAGTTATCCTAATTATTGCACGAACCTCGAGCATTGCAGGAGCCTTTAGCCCCATTTTCCCGCAATAATCGACTTTCCACCGTACCTCAGGTACCCCTACAGTCTCATCACGTTATCCATCCAGCTACATCACTTCGAATCGGGTACCATGGACGGCTAGATCGATAATGTCTCTATCGATGCACGAGATCCACCGTCAATACGTTGAGTCAGTTCCACGAATTACACATCACGAGCCACTGAAGGGTTCTTTGTTATGGTACAAACACAACCACGCTCAGGCGGGGAAACTCCGTGACGGGGTTCCGAGGTTGAGCATCAAACACCAACTTCGTATCCGGTTCTGTTTACAATTCCGTGGTAGTTTCCACCGGACTCTGTTCGCCCAAGTACGTGAATCCCAGATGAGAGTAATCCTTCCTTTCCCTGAACGTCACGTTGTCGTTCGACGGGCTGGGACTCAGCAGGTCGCCGCCACGGTTGTAAAGTGGGTTCAAGACTGGCGTCGCGTCGTGATTGCTCAACGTATTTGCGTTGCTCGCGCTGTGGTTCTTTCTGCCCAGGGTGGATCGACGCAGGGAGTGGATGTTTGTGTCTCCGTGGGTACCAACTATGCTGGAAGCACGCGCCGTGGTCGCCGCCTCGGAACTCACCGGACTCTGTTGACCTTAACAGATGATAAATGCGGCTGTGAATCATTGCCTTCGTTTCCCTGATTATTTGCTAGCACGGCGAAGTTATAAACTGTTTCGAGACGAAAGTTCGAGAGTCTCGCGAAACTCTCCTATCGCAAACTGTACGTAATTGATGGCTGTTCGCGAAAGACTGCACGGAATCCGAAAACAGTGACTTCTAAGGGTATATTGCTCGAGATAATTGAGAAGCTCGTGTTTTGGAGCCAACTCGGACGGTTACTTCTGATGGAATAATATTTTTTGTATACATTTAAAGTTTTTGAACCAAGTCTTCTCCTCAACTCCAACACAGAAGTGTATTGCCTATACCGTCCATTATACAGGAAGAAAACTCCTCCATTTATTCTATACAAAACTGCAGAAATGCCCCAAAAATTTGCTGCAAATGTATAACCAGAAGTAAGAAGACGTGGAGCTCCACGTACCCACCGATAACTATCGCGAAAGTTTACAATGACATCCCCAAACAATTTTCTTCTTTCGAGAGCGCACAGTATCTAAAATTAATGTTATGCACCGCTGCAGGTACCAACTCCAAACTTCCCGAACGTGGAATGGTTAAAGAAGTTGCTCTGGAATAACTCTACACTCCGATAGGAAGGCGTACCTAGCTGTTGTAGCAATTCAACTCGAACATGTGCTTGGTATCTCTTGGTACCGCGTCAGCCACTTGTTCACTACTTGAGCGTAGATAAACTTCGTCTCTATTCGTGACAGGAAATAGAAAGGACGTTGGGTTTGCAGGGTGATTTTAAATTGCTATATGTGTAACGCTTGCTGGACAATGGTAGCATGGAAAAGTTTTGTAAATTCCTCTACCATGTTCTCAGACGTGAAATCAAGTTACTAATCTGCTACTTTCATGTTTGAGTATGGAGATTTCGTGACAACTGAACGAAAACATGATGATATTTATAAAGATAATAAAATATTATAATTACCAGTACTTTCTCCGTGATCTTTGGTAATGTAACTGACATTGTCCAAGCTAAACGCGTGGTTCTTGTTACTGAAATCGAGCTGGAGATCGTTGTAGCTGTCGTTGTCGTCCACAGGCACACTCATTTGAAGCACCTGCGTCTCATACTCTTTCAGATTCGGCTCCACGTACACGGGATCGTAACGAGGCACAACGTACATACGCTGCATTCTTTCCTTGTAAGCTTTGTATCTGCAAAAAGAGAAACTTTCGTATCATATTCGTATAATTTAATGTTACTATATTGCTTATAAAGAAGTTAGCTTAATAAATAAATAAAATAATAAGAATGTAAACCAATGGAATTTAATTTTTTATGTGTTCAAAATATTCGCACAGAGTATACAATTTCGCAACTGTGATGCACAAAGATGTTACTATGTATTTCCAGAGGTAATCAAGCCGGAAAGCTTAATTCATTCTAATGGAAGTAATGAAGAGAATGCTGAATTTATAGAACACGTGAAGCCTCAGGCCACCAATGCATATTCATAGCAATAATTGAAAACGCTTCTTTCGCATGATACTAACATAATAGCGACGCTGTTGCTACAATTAAAAGGCTATTTTGAACACTCTTGAGATGGAAGTTTTGCGCAACATTAGAATTTTTTAATAGAAAAAGATAAAATAAAATAGAACACTGATTGCCTTATTGTCGTTTGCAATAAAAATGGACTATAGTAAAAATATGTAAACATGAATACCGAAAGAATGAATGGATCAATATAAACAAAGATTATTTTTAGACTAACAGATGGAAATTAATAAACAAATGCATAATTTACCTGGACCAGGAGACGCAGATATAGATGATGCCAGCGATGCCTAAAATCAATATGACGCAGGCGATGATTATCAACGCGTATGGAAACACTTCACCACTGAAAGCGATGGCAGTCTGCGTTCGCACCGGTTCAGGTGGTATAACAGGTGCATGAATGTCGATCGCGGTGGCGCGAACCAATGTGGATACGTCGAAAGTGATGTTCGTCATTGCTGGCTTCTCCATGATCGACCTGAAACGAAATCAGTCCTGTGTAGTTCAAGAATTATCGCGAAATGCGAGGTCGTGGATGAATTGTTGTTCCCGGATTACGTAGTAGCTGCGAAATTGTTACGTCAGTTTGCGATGACTATGATATTTCTATGCCCCGTAACTTGTTTGCCGGTCAGAGAATTAAAAATATACTCGAAGTTGAATTGGGGGCTGGGGGAGGGGGGGATACAATAAGGGGTCTTTACAATAAGAAAGAAAGAGATTGATATTAAATACTTTAAAAATCATAAAAAAATTCAAGTAGAATGTTTGAAGTAGAATTTATATTCCGTTAATGAAATCAGTTCTTCTAATCTGTACTTTTTTTTGTAATTATGAAAATTCCACTTATAAACAACTAATATAAATAAAATTTACTTTTGTATCCTCGAGTTGTTCCTGTCCAAAATAATTTCAGT